GGGGGGAGAGAGAGAGAGAGAGAGAGAGAGAGAGAGAGAGAGAGAGAGAGAGAGAGAGAGAGAGAGAGAGAGAGAGAGAGAGAGAGAGAGAGAGAGAGAAAGAGAGAGAGAGAGAACAAGGGAGCTCACTGGGAAGATTCAGAAAAGCTTTATCTAAGAGGTGGCACCTAAGCTGAGAACAGGTGAGGAGTTAGTAGTAATTAGAGATTCTAGACATGAGTGATGAATGCTTGTGTGAAGGTGGCAAGGAAGCCAGAGAAGTGCTGGGTTCTGGAAATAGCTGGCAAGCTAGTTTGGCTAGCTAGAACATAAAGGTCAGAGAAGGTGAATAATTTATTAATCTGGAAAGGTAAGTGTCAAAGGCTTTACCTGCCAGGTTGGGGCATTTGTTTTTTATCCTAGAAGCAAGAAAGGGATCACTGAAGGTTTTTTTTTTTAATCAGAGAAGTGAAATGGTCAGACCTGTCAATGCTTTTAGGAAGGAAGTCAAAATTGGTGATTTTATGTTATACCTATATACTGAAATATCAGGCAATAATAAAAATGCTGATGATTTGAAGGTAAAGGTTAAAAGAAATTTTAAGTGCCATCTTTGTTCTTTATAACTACCTTTGGTTAGTCATTCAGTCAGTCAATAAGCATTGATTAAGCGCCCACTAGGTGCCAGGCATTGTGCTAAGTGCTGGGGATACAAAGAAAGGCAAAAGACAATTCCTGCCCTTAAGGAGCTCACAATCTATAGGGAAAACAACATGCAAAGAGAGGGAAGACACTAGAAATCTTACTGATAGAAAGTGAGATTTAAGCTGGGACTTGAAGGAAGCCAGGAAGCAGAGATGAGGAGAAAGAGCACTGCAGGCAGGGAGGACAGCCAGAAAAAAATGCATGGAGCTTAGAGATGGGAATAACTTGTAAGAGAAACAAGGACGCCAGTGTTACTGAACTGAACAGTATGGTGGGGGTGGAGGTATTGTAAGGCATAAGAAGACTGGAAAGGTAGGGAGGAACTAAGTTATAAAGGTCTTTGAATATCAGAGGATTTTGTATTTGATAAGCAAGATGATAGGGAGCCATGAAGCTTAATGAGTATGGGGATGACAAGGTCAGATCTGCACTTTAGGAAAATAACTTTGGTAGCTGAATGGAGGATGGATTGGAGTGGACAGACCCGTGGCAAGGAGACCATCCAGAAGGCTACTGCAATAGTCTAGACAAGAGTTGATGAGGGCCTGTACGAGGGTGGTGGCAGCATCAGAGAAGAGAAGGGAACATATCTGAAAGATGTTGCAAAGGTTAAATCAACAGCCCTTGGCAACAGACTGGATATAGGGGCAACAGTGAGGAGCTGAGAATGACACCCAGGTTGTGAACCTGGAGAACTCAGAAGATGGTGGTGCCCTTGGCAGTAACAGGGAAGTCTGGAAGAGGGGAGAATTTGGAGAGAAAGATAATGAATTCGGTTTTGGAACATGTTGAGCTTAGAATCAGCATCTAGTTTGAGATGTCTGAAAGGCAGTTGGAGATGTAAGCCTGGAGGTCTGTAGAGGTTAGGTCTGGATAAGTGGATTTAAGAATCCTCAACATAGAGATGATAAATAGAATCTACGGAAACTGATAGGATCACCAAGTGAAGTAGAATAGAGGGAGAAGAGAAGAGAGTCCAGGACAGAGCCCTGTGGGACACCCATGTGGGTTTGACCTGGGTGAAGATCCAGCAAAGGAGACTCAGGAAGGGGTATTGTCCCAAATGCCTAGAGAAGTCAGTATATTCTAGGAGAAGAGGGTGACTGATAGTGGCAAAGGCTGGGTCAAGAAGGATGAAGACTGAGAAAAGGTCATTGCATTGAGCAATGAAGAGATCACTGGTCATTTTGGAAAGCAATTTCAATTGAATGATGAAGTTGGAAGGTTGTGGAGAATTAAGAAGGGAGTGAAAGGAGAGGAAGTGGAAGTACCTACTGTAGATTGCCTTTTCAAGGAGTTTAGCCACAAAAGACAGAAGAGATATGGGATGACAGTGCAGATGGAAGAATCAAGTGAAGGTTTTTTTTAAAATGGAGGGAGACGTGGCTGGGTTTGTAGGGAGCATGGAAGTAGCCATTAGACAGTGAGAGACTGAAGATAAGTGAGAGAGTGGGAATGACAGAGGGAGCAATCTACTAGGATGGAATGATGAGATGGAATGGGATCCATTGTGCAGGTAGAGGGGCCACTGTGTGTGAGATAGGGGTGAAGGAAGAAATAGTGGCAGAAGATACCTGTCTGTATGTGAGATAGGGGTGGGAGGGGAGGAACTTTCTGTCAATTTTTTCAGTGAAATACGAGGCAAGATTCTTAGCTGAGAGGGTGAGGAGAAGGGAAGCCAAGGAAGGTTTGGAAGAGACACTGTGGAAAGTGGGATATTGAGTTGATAAGGGAGGTATAGTAGGATTGCCGAGCAGCAGTGAGGGCACGGTTGAGATTGTGTAACATAAATTTGGAGGGGACCCGGTCAGAATAGTCTGTGATTTTCTGCACCTTTGTTCAGCAGCACATGGATGGCATGAGTGAAGGCAGTGGATGGTGGGAGTGATGCTGGATGTAATCCATGATATGATAAGGAGGCCAGGGAATCAAGAGACAAGGACAGTGTAGAATTGAACTGATTCACCAAGGGCTTAGGATGGAGAAAAGAGGAGAGAGTGGTTAACATGGGAGTGATGGCTGGGGAGAGAACTGAAGGGTCTAGAGCCTGGAGGTCACCTTTGGTTCTGATGTAATCTGGTTTAGGGAATTTGCCAGTAAGCATCCCTAGGTCTGAGTGGGTCCAACAAGCTGTTATCTGGCAAAGGTTTCTGGTAGCCCTTGTCATTCTTTCTTAGCATTCCTGAGGGTGACTCTTCAGTCAGGCAGTGTGAGAAAAAGTGAGACCAGCAGTTTTACTGTGGCTCCCTATGCAGAGTACCATAAGAAGACCCACCTCACCCACTAGACATTCTTGCTAATTTCAAGATGATCCTCCCTTGGAGACCTGTTGATTCATCTCCCATTGGCAACTTGGCCCACCGTCAAATTGGTTTCAGTCGACCCTATCTCAGAAGTCCCCTTTTAGCTCCTGTGCAGACTTGATTCGTCCTTCCTGTCACAACCTCTTGAATGTGCCTATTACCCTATTACCTCTAGGCTCAAATACAAAATTCCCTGGCTAGATTTGAAAGCTCTCACTCCCTAGTATCAACTTACCCTTCTCACTTTATCATACATTACTCTCCTTCATCTCTCATCTCCATGCCTTGGCACAGCCTGCTCCCCAAGCCTGGAATGCACTCTTAAGATCTGTGGTTTCTTAATGTCACATTCTACATTAACCTTTTCCTAATCCTCCCATTTGCTAGTGCCTCTCTCCAACAACAATTTTCATTTGTGTATTTATTTTATACATATTTACATGTAAGTACATGTTGTTTCCCCTATAAAATGGAAATTTCTTGGAAATAGAGACTATCTCTCCTTTTTGGTTTTGGGATTCCCAAAACCTAGCACAGTACTTGGGATGGTAGGTGAGTTAATAAATACTCCCTGACTGACTGATTGGCAAACCCACCTTATGCCTAGCTAATCAATCAATCAACAAACTTTTATTAAGCACCTACTATGTACCAGGCATTGTGTTAGGCACTGAGAATATGAATATAAAGAATGAAATGGTACTTTTTCATAAGGATCTTACATTCTAACAAGAGACAAGTATAAGTATAAAAGTACATAGAGAAAAAATGTAAAAAGAATAAATACAGAGTAGTTAATTATAAAGTAGTTTGGGAAGTAGTTTGGCTCAGTGGATAAAGTGCTGGGCCTGGAGTCAGGAAGACCTGAGTTCAAATGCAGTATCAGACACTTCCCAGCTGTGTGACCCTGGGCAAGTCACTTAATTTCTGTTTGCCTAAATCCACTGCAGAAGGAAATGGCAAACCATTCCAGTATCTTTTCCAAGAAAGTCCCATGGACAGTATGGTTCATGGGGTCATGAAGAGTTGGACATGACTGAACAACATGTTTGGGAAGGAGGACACTAACAGATGAAGGGATCAGAAAAAGCATTACAGAGAAGGTGGTGCTTGAACTCCCAATTCTAATTAATCTAGCCCAAAGTTCTCTTTCCAGGTGCATACACAGTCAGTATCATGTCTAGCTGGACTCTTCAGCTAATGCTCCATTTCCCATATGCTGCTCTCCTTGGTTGGAACTCTGAGGAATGGGATGCCTCTATACCAGGTACCCTCTGGTGAAGCTCCCCTTTCCCCCACTTTCCAGCTTCCTTTTGTGTCTGATTTTCTCCCATTAGACTGTCAAGCCCCTTGAAAGCAAGGATTGTCTTTCTTGTTCTTATTTGTATCCTCAGTGCTTAGCACAGTATCTGGCATGTAGTAGGTATTTAATAAATGTTTACTGAATTGAAATAATGAATACCACATACTTTAGCACTTAAGTGTTACCAAACTGGTTCATGTTTTATCTCTCCAACTTGATCACAAGGATCCCACAGGGCAGGCATGAAATCTGCCTTATGTTTCTTCTGCAGCGGTTTCCTCATTTCACTACATCTTTTCCAACACAGATTAGGGGATCTTTTGCTCCTCACTTTGCCTCCTCTCTCCATTGTCCTTTTCACTTCCCAGCTAGTATCATGCTTCTCTGTGTAATAATATGTTGTGCACATATCCCTATTAAGCTCCTAGAAGGAAGGAACTCTTTTCTTGGTATTTGTGTTTTCTTACAGTTGAGCAACATGATAGGTTCTTAATGAATGCCTTGAAGTGAATTTTGAATTGAAGCTCCTATAGCTTCTACAAGAGTTTTCAGTCCAACATTTATGACCAGATACTCTATAGAGTAGTAATGCAAGAGCTCTGTTCTATTTGTAGACCTCTGCCAAGAAATGTATGAAGTCTCTTTCAGTGGGAGGGGGGAAGCAGCAATTGCCTGAGCACCTGAAGTTCTGACCAATAACCTCTTGGACAGGGAATCTGACTGGTCAGTTTTTTTGAACATTGTCCTGTCTTTCTAAAAACCCCATATTTAGCATCTGTAGGAGGCTGTGAAGTGAGTACCTGAGGAAAGCGGGCCCTAGAAATACAAAGAAACACGCCACTGAACTGATCCTGAATTTCCATGGTACCAGCTTGCAGTGAACCTAGCAGAAAAAACCACTAACACTTGAGGGCAGGAGAGTGGTCAGGCTCTGGGGAGTTACCATTCACTGAGTGCCATTCTCCTATCATAGACCCGAATGGAACCATCGCCAAGGCCGGCCACAATGAGTGAGCGGTGAGAGTCACAGGAGAGGCTTGTCACACAGCTGTCTGCACCCGTGGGGATATCCTAAGGTACAAACAGAGAGATCACAATTTAGACACCAGCAGAGCATCTAAGTGCAGTCCTCTCATAGGGAGTATTCCTAGGGGCTTCTTGAGAATGCTGAAGGTGCTATCTGACTGATCCCCTATCAGTCTTTCCAAAAATAATCTGATATTGTATTTATTGACTGAAACCCTTCCCCCTCCCTTGTTGTGTGACATTCGGGGATGTTATGTCCATCCAGAGAAGTAGTCAGAAAGTCTTGAGGAACCTAGGAGTAGAAGGGAAAAGTAAGAAAACTCTTAACAGCACAGAGGCACTTGTCCCCACAGTATGAATGATAGGTCAATTGTACCTCAGCTCCACCAGCCTGGAAAGTAAAAGCTATAAACATGCATCTCCCAGGAGACCACATAGCTCACAGACACAATCTAGTGATGACTGTCTTTCAGGTCCAATTAAACTTTCCAACAACATATTCTCCCTTCCTAAAAAGAAAGACAACGCACATTTGGCAGGGAAGAAGCCTTGTTATCTCTCTCCTAAAACTTCTAATTAGTTAAGGAAAATCTCCAGGAGGAATTTTCCTTCCTATAAAGCATCACTCCCCCTCCCTTTCTGATGGTCATAAATGCTGCTGGAAGGGCAGGAGTGGTGATAAATGCTTGATAGGGAAGAGCAGAAGACAAAAAAAAATTGGCCACAGGAGAGAAAAATGCTTTCAGGAATATAAAAAGATTTTGCAACTAACAGACATATAGAAAAAGAAATCCAACATATATGAAAAACAAGAGATTACCACTTTAACTAGGAGCTCCCATTAAAGAATACTATTTTTCTATGTATTAAACCAGAGTACAAATCTGTAATTAGCATCCTACAGCTTCACGAAAGAAAATACTACCAGGGGATAAGGAGGGAAAACTCAAATAGATAAAACCATTGATTAGTTAAGGGAAGCTTTTCTGTATCTCTTGATTTGTTCTATGCCTTAGCAGAGGCCTTTTGTTTAAAAGACAGAATCTCTAGGGAAGTCAAGTTCTCTCTGTGGTTGAGGGCTACTTCCTCAGTATAGGAATTGTATTTTACTAAGAAAAAAAAAATCTGTCATTTCAGAGGAACATTTTCCTAACAGGAATAACAACTTCTCCAGAAAAAGATGCCAATTAGAACTGTTCAGTTCCACTGGCAGTGACTTAATAACAAGAGGGAGTGTGAAACAAAAGATGACAGGCTCCAAAATAGAAGGTCAAAGGTGTCCAGAGGATGAGAATGCCAAGTGTAAAGGTGGTGCGATTGGGCCAATGCCCTAGGTGGTAGTTCTGCAGGCTGCAGCTCCCCCCCAGGTGCACACGTGGCCACCAATGAGAATATTGCCTGTTGCAGAAAGGAAATAACGGTAAGAAAGAAAAATAGTTTTAATTTAACAGATACAAAAGGAAGGGAAGCTTTTAACAACTGGGAAATAATCAGGCCCTCCTCACATTGCATTAGCTCACTTCACACCTCCTTTCTATTTTGGTCTTGGGAGCACATGCGCTATACTCTCTGACAATGTCAGTTTTTGTCTAATCAAACATCTTAGCTTCGGATCCAAGTTGGTCAAGGATGTTAAGTTGAGAGCAGCTGGGAAACAACTACTTTCCCCTAGAAAAAAAATCTCACCTTTAGAAAAATTCTCATCTCATGGAGTTCTGGGCATAAAGGAAACCCCTGTGTCCTAAAGCCACCTTGAACACTATTCTAAGAGCAGCATCTGGCTCCCCTCCCTCTGCTGCTTCTGGCCAGACTGCATTAGCTCTCTTCCTTCCCTTCTTGGCCCTCTGTCAACTTTCCAGGGTGTCTTGAGCAAAACTAATTTACTTCTCTCTCTCTCTCTTTATTAAAACTGAAAATAAAAAATGTTTTCAGAAGCACACAGTCGAATAATTAATCATTCTAATTTAAAATATTTTCACCCTACTGATTTCTGATGTTCCTTAATTTACACAGATAAAATAATATTTGGAAATAATTAGGATTAGCATAGGCTTAATTATGCTGCAATGCAGGGTCAAAGTGTCGTAATTAATGTTCATCCAGGGGTAATTAATTTCTAAAAGCTTTGAAGTCTAGTCTTCATTTGTCCCCAGTAGTGAAGGCTTTCTTCTTGCAGAACTTGCCTCCTCCCCTAAATAATTTCAGTTTTACCACAACTCCCTTTCAGTGATGATCCATTGCTTGGAAGGGTAGAATCTATTTCTCTATAATCACAAATAAAGGAGGGACCTTAAGAGAGATTTGAAGACAGAGTTGAACTTTGAGGAAAAAAAGAAGAAAATTGAGAATGATAGTGGTTCCACATTATCTGTGAGAAGCACAGTGGAAAGAAGGCTGGATTTGGAAAGAGAGGATCTGAGGTCGAATCCTGGTTCTAAGACTTATTACTTATATGACCTTAAGAAAGTCACATAAACCTTTTAGGCCTCACTTTTCCTCAACTATAAAATGGGGGAATGGGACAAGATGACCTTGAAGGTTCCTTCCAGATCTGAATCTATAATCCTACAACCGATGACCTAACACCCTGAATCTGAAACATCTTAGGAGAGTAGCACATACAGTCTCTTTGGCAGCACTAGAACTGGGAAAAATGCCAGGGTTCTAGAAGAATGGTAAAAGGAGGTGGCTAACATGTCCCACCAGCCAAGACAAGCACAGTATTTTTTACCTGCACTTTCATCTCTCTATCTGTGTCCCAGATTCGGATAATCCGTACATCTCCTGAGGTCATGAGAAGGCCGGTCTCTTGCTCCCAGTCCACTACCATACCTGCTCCTAAACAGAAACAAAGAGTAAGTATGTTACATGGAGAATTCACTCAGCACTGATTTGGAGAATCATAGGCAAAAGCAAGCCTTGGGAATACAGTTAGGGCATTTAGTCAAACATTTCCAAAAACCTCATGAAATTGACTAAAACAAAATTTATTTCTGAGCTCAGGATCTAGATCCTGAAGAAGGGCAAACATGCTCTTTTAAGAATTCCTTTCTGCAATTTATAAAAAGCTAATCTTGAGTCCTGCTTGGACTCCTATAATGTACATATCAACACGTCAACAAGTACTTATTAAGTGCTTACTACGTACAAGGCACTGTGCTAAGTGTTAGAAACTGACTGGGGTAGACAGCCTAAGAGAAAAAGAAATGGAATGACTTTGCTAGACTGTCAGCTTCAAGGATGTCCAAGAAGAAATGGACTAGTTTAAGAGGTAGGAGACAGTAACCTCCTATTGGATGATTTGATGGACCTGAGATCTCATGGATATGAGGCCTTCCTCCAGTGGTATGGATCCTGTCCCATCCATGCCTTCTTAGTATGTGATCTTTATGTCCATTTTTTCCCATAAGTCTTCCACTGTGAGTTTACCCAGCATGCTGGGGCTCTTCCTACAGATCTCCTGACATTCCTAGCTACTACTTCAGTACACCATCTGTCCCATTGGTTATCCTTCTCTTTGGGCTCATGACTGACCTGCCTTCTTTTCTAGTCATATGTTTTTTCTTGGATAACTATTTTTATACTGCTTCTCTTACAAAGTTCTTTGTTGGTAATGTTGCCACCTAGTTTCAATCATGTCAGCCTAAACAAAGTAACACACAGGTTCTCTATTCTCATGGAGCCATGGATTGGCTAGTTTGGAAACTTGAGAAGATATTACCAAACACTCCTCAAATGGACAGTTGTGTGTGAATGAACATTTAAAGACTGCATACTTCTTCAGAAGTATCTTATCTCATAGAAGGGAATAATCTTTAACCCTTCCTTCCTCCCCCCCCTCTCAATTATAAGGGAGCTTGTTGAGGTAGTGATTGGACCTATTCTCTTTAAGCTCTCTAGAAAAAAAACTCTAGAATGGAATTTCAACCCTTGTAATCAAATGATGGACCAACAAGGATTTATTAAGCGTTTAGTAAGTGTCTACTATGTGTCAGATGCTGTGCTGGGTGCTGGACATGAACATGCACACAATTTTTGAGATGGTCTGTGCTCTCAAGGAGTTTATATTCTACTATAGGAATACAATATAATCAAAGACAGTAAATGTAGCCAGTTTGCCTGGAGAGTAGTGTGTGAAGTGGAGTAATGTGTAATCAGCCTGAAAGCCTGATGGCTAGGCAAGCCAGCTTTGGACTTTAAAAGAATTTTAAATGCTTCAACTAGGAGACTGTATTTTAATCTAATGGCTTCTTAAGCAAAGTAGTAGCATGGTCAGATCTATGCTTTTGTAATATACCATCACTTTGGCAACTGTGCAGAAGATGGACTGGAGAAGTGAGAGACCAGAAGCAGTTTCCTATTAGGAGGCCTTTGCAATCATCCAGATAATAAGGACCTAGACTGGAGTGGTTGCAGTGTGAATAGAGAGATGTTGAAGTGGTGGAAGTGATAAGATGGAGCAATTGAGTGGATATGACATAGAAACCATTGTGAACAGTCTTTGAAATAGGGTAGAATGTACCAAGATGACATCTCATTTCCTTTTAGGAGGGCCTGAAATCATTCTACTGTTTGGTAGATGGGCAACCTGGTAAGTGAAATAGTTATACTTCTTCTGTATTGCTCCATACAGAAATATCCCTAAATTAGCCCAAAAGATATTCACTTCAGGACATACTGCCTACTCAGGCCACCAAGACTTGCCCAATACATAATCATCTCCATACAAACTTAATTGATAAAATCATTCTCTAGATAGGTTTAATTTTAAAGGGCTTGTTCACACTAGCTAAGAATTTTCCTAGAAGGTGCTTAAATGGTTTGCTTTGAAGGCAGGGTCAGTTATCAATTATCTTTCACTTCTGGTGTTGGGAGGTAGGCTGACCTCATATTTAATGCTTTCCTGGATAGACTTCTACTCACAGGTTCCTTCATGCATGAAAATAATTCTTGGACCAAGAAATTGCAGATAAACTTCAAAGCACGGCTGGCTGGTAGGTTCTACTATCTTGGAGGAAGAATGTATACTTTTAAAAATGTTTTTCATTTCTAATGCATTGCTGCCTGTCCTCAGAGAGCTGAAGTCTTCTAAATACTTCCAGCATGGGACACCCCTAGATAGAGTTACTTGTGAAGAGAAACTCCTTTGTACACAGGCAGAGATGACTTTCCTAGGCCTCAATAGAGCCTGAGGAAATTATCCTAGGGAACAAATGAAATAAATTAAGCCTTCTGATGATGCTGAAAAAATGAATGGGGATAAAACAGGTACTTAGTACCCCATCTAGCTGTCTCTATGGATGTCCGATTTAGTGTGGACTGACTGAGTTAGCTTGCTGCAGCTCACTCAATAGACTCATCAGCCTCTGCTTCCCTGGTAATCATAGGCACGCACCACTACCCCTGCAGGGAATGGAGCTTTCATTCAGCTAACATTTAGGGAGTGCCTACTATGGGCTAGGCATTCATTTGATGATAAAAAGCTAATGCAATCTTGGGCAGCATTAATAGAAGCCAAAGTTGGTAACAGTCCCACTCTACAGCTATCCAGCAATGGAATGGTCTGCTCTGATACAGCTCATTCCCAAGAACTAGAGTGGTTCCGTCTGAGGAGAGATAACCTGGACCAGTCAGGGATGTGAGGAAAGGAGGCATGGGGGTAGAGAAGGGGAAGTTTGGACTAGATGATCTCTACAATTGCTTTTAGCAATGAAGATCCTATAATTCTAATTCACATGTTTTCACCCAGCTTTTGATGTGGGTGAATTCTTGGGCATAGGTGCAGGTGGAATTCAGTTACAGAAAAGCAGAACTATTTTAACTTAGGAAAACTCAGCAGACTTTCCTGAACCCCCAATGGGAAAACTCTAAATCCTAATAATAATCCTAAATGAGAAATGAGAAAGGTGCAGAATCAATGTCTGGTTTACAATGCTCTCTACTAGATTCTTAAATAATTAACGTTTTTACTGGTTTTGAATAGAATCAAAGAAATTTAAGTAGTCAAGAAGAACTACTAAAAGGATCAAGACTGTTCTTTGGGTAATCCACAGACATCAAGGAAGTACTAATGTAATTTGATATGTATTTGATATATTGTACCTCACAATGAAATGTTGTACCTTCACATGAACAAGAGGTAAACTGTTAAATATGAAATGTGGACTAAAAAAAAGCTGAGAGGACAGGAATAGGAATTGGATCGTGCCACTCCTTTCCCTTTTTTATCCAGAAATCGCAAATGGTATAGAGCCATTAAAAGCTAAAATGATACTTACATAATTAGTAAACATATAAATCAATGGGGCTTAGCTAGTATTTTCATGGACAGCTGAGATCTTTTCATACTCCTGAATGGAAAATGATTCCTAAGCAGGGCGCTTCCTAGTGGGTATCCTGATCCACCAACACCTTTTTTGGTGTTTTTTCCCTTATAGTCAGGAATGCCTTCTATCCCATCTCTGCCCATTGAAATCCTTCAAGATTCAATTCAAATTCTACTTCTTTCTTTAAACCTTCCTAAACTGTCCAAGCCAGAATTAATTATTACATCTTCCAAATAATTCTAGTACTTTGTATTTCATCTTATGCCCTCTACTTTGTGTTCATGTCTTATTTTCTCTACTAGACTGTAAACTCCTTGAGGACAGAAACTGCCTTTTATTCACCTTTGGATTTGTTGGCTACTGGAGAAGAGTAGGACTATCATCACATTCCTTGTGGATACCATGCTTTTATTAATTTGGCCTAAGACTGCATCAGCTTTTTTGAGTAGCCAAGTCATGTATGATTTGTACTGAGCTAGAAGACAAGTAAGATTTCTAAGTTGTTTTTTCCCATATTAATTGCTAAGTTATATGGGAATTTACATTTATCTGAATTATAGTTCATTTTGTTAGCCCATTATTCCAGCCATCAAGATGTATTTTGACCCTGAATCTATTACCATTCTGACTTTGCGTCATCTTCACATTTACTAAGCAAGTCTTCAATGTCTTCATCCAAGTCACTGAATAACATATTGAATAAGATATCTGAGGATAGAACCTTGAGTCACACCTCTAAAGATATTAACCTATATTGACAATGATCCATTGATGATGATGGTAAGAATGATAGTTAGCATTTATATAGTGAAGTTCTACCTCACGCTCAGATTGGCACAGCTGACACAAAAGGAAAATGACAAATGTTGAAGGAGATGTAGGAAAACAGGTACATCAGTCCACTGTTGGTAGAGCAGTGAATTTGTACCACCATTCTTGAAAGCAATTTGGAACTGTGGTCCCCAAAGCTATTACATTGTGCATACCCTGTGACCCAGCAATACCACTACTAGGTCTATACTCCAAAGAGAGATCAAAGAAAGAGGGAAAGGGTACATATGCACAACATTCTTTATAGTAGCTTTTTTTGTAGTGATGAAGAATTGTAGACTATGAGGGGTAATCATTAACTGGGGAGTGGCTGAACCAATTATAGTACATGAATGTAATAAAATACTATTGTGTCATAAGAAATAATGAAAGGGTCAGTTTTGGTGGAACCTGGGAAGACTTATATAAATTGAAGCAGCCTGAAATGAGAGGAACCAGAACAATTTATAGAACACCACCACCACTGTAAAAACAAAAAATGTTGAAAGACAATATGGTGAGCCCCTGGAAGTGGAGGACTCTGAGGCTGTGTAAGAAAGAGTGAACTTGCCCAGGTGGGATTGGGCCCTTAAGTGAGTGCTGTACTTCCAGCCTGGGTGAATAGAGGAATCCAATTTCCAAAAACAATGAATAAAAAAACCAGTCTTCTTGACTCAATTTTTCAGAATTCTCCATCAAAAG